ATTCCTCAATAAAAAAGGAATTTAGGATTCTTGTTCAAAAGTCAACCAAAAGAATTATTTGAGTCTACTAATATTGAACAATTCGGAGGAGGATATAGAGTCAGATATGCAGTAGTAAATAATTGATATAAATGCCTACATCTAAATCAATATAAAATAAAACATTATTCTTTTTTATATGGTATTATTACGAATAAAATTTGAAAAAAAAATCAAATAAATTAAAAAGGATATAATTTAATGGGTAAATAATATGCAAGAGAACCTGCTGTTGCTAAAAAATCAGCTAAAGCCAAAGCAAGTGATTTGAGAACTCATTTTAAGAATACTTATGAAGTAGCTAGAGCAATCAAAGGATAAACACTTGCTTAAGCACTTAAATATATGCAAGACATTCTTTAACATAAGAGATGTGTTCCTTTCACAAGATTTAATGGTGGTGTAGGAAGAACAAGTTAAGCTAAAGAATTCGGCAGATCTCAAGGTATTTATATTAAATATTTGATTTTTAGGTAGATGGCCAGAAAAGAGTGTTAGAATGGTATTATCTCTCTTATAAAATTTGGCTGCTAATGCTTAAGTCAAAAATTTGAGTAATGAAAAATTGATTATCAATCATGTCTAAGTCAATAGAGCTTAAAAGGGTAGACGTAGAACATACAGAGCTCATGGAAGAATCAATCGTAATTTAATTATTTATATTTTCAAGCTTTCTTATCATCAAATGCTCATATTGAAATTTGGGCTGCAGAAAGAGATGAAAATGTTAAAAAAGAAGCTAATAATAAGGTTGTTGCTCGTTAATCAAGAAAATAAGCTGCAAGATCTAAATTAGCAATTGGAGCATGAGAATATATTAATATAAGTATATTAAAATAAATAAATTGAACAATTAATAAATCTATTTATTTATTAATATTACTCAATTCTATAATGCACCCAAAGTTGGGAAATCATTTTAATCAATTGGATCCTATTTAACATATTATTTTGGTGTTTTTTAGACTATGCTTTTTGGAACCAATTAATATTATTATTATGTTTCCCCTTTTTAAAAGTATTGCTAATATTATAAATCAAATCATTACATCATTTTATCTATTTCCATGTTTTCTATCAAATCTTCCTTTACCTTTTGAATTCTTATAATCTTCATTATCTTAAATATCTTATTATCCATAATTTTATCTTCCTCTCCCTTTATTATTATTTTGATAACCTTTATCACGTCTATCAATATCTTCTTCATAATCATCATATTAATGTGATTTCTTATTCTATATCATTGTACATTTCTTCAAATTTATTTACTTATGAAATTCATCCAAGTAATCAACACTTAACATCATAACAGAATCAATTTGCAATTTAGATTTATTAGACATCAAATATGTGAATATCTCATCTGCACATTATTCACTTTAACATGTTAATGTTAATTTAATTAAACTTTTATCTGCTTAATAAATTTCTTCTTCAAATTATAATTATTCTCTATTCTATTTATTATTTCTAAGGGATTCCTTTATATTATTAATATTGGATGCACCTGATTTTATTAAAATTCTCTTTCTTTCACTACGAAAATAAGGTCTAATTAACAATAGGCCATGATCAAAGTTCCATAATTAATTATTATACTTCTTCAGTATCTATATTTATGTATTAAATCATAATAATACAGCTGTTAAGATCAAATGATATTGTTTTCTATCATTCTATTCATTTTGCACATATTGATTCTTTATTGAATTTTCCCTTTATACTACTACATATTATAGTAAATAATGATCTGGTTTTGTAATATCTGTTTCAAATTTTCTTACTAAATATTCATTATTTAGTAAGTTCTCATATTTGAATAACTCAATCATCTATAAAATTTAGTATCAATCATTACAGCTTTTTCCAATCTTGAGTATTGATCTTCATACTAAAACAATATTCAAACTATCTTACCTTGTCTGATAAATTTTAGGGGGAAATCATAGATATATTAAAAATAACTTTTAATTTATTTTTCTAAAAATACAAAATATATAACAGATATCTATTTGTATAAAAAAAATAATAAAAAAGAAATAAAAAAATAAAATAATCATTTCTTCTTTTTTTTGGCTTTTAGTTTTGCAGCCTTAGCCTTTGCAACTTATAAATCTTCATATTTTTTTTTAACATAGTCTACATATTTACACATTCCACTATCATCTGGATCCATCTCCTTTAAAATATCCTTTACATCTTAAGCTGTCATCTTTTCTCCCATTTCTATTAATATATATCTCATTTCAGCTGTTTATATAGTACCAGTATTATCAACATCAAATACACGAAATGACTAATGAAATTTAAATTTATTTATATACTGCCATTAATTCATCAATAGTATCATCATCTTTGACTGCTTTTGTTAAAATTTTCATCATTTACAAGAAATCAATTGTACCTGTAGATTCAGGATCCAATTCTTTCATATAATTGTCCAACTCTTCATCAGTAGGATCTTAACCCAAATATTTTAAAATATTAGCTAATAAATATAACTTAAATTATAAGTACCTAATTCTTTGGTTGATACAGTGCCTTTATTATCTGTATCAAACTAATCAAAAGCTTCTTTAATGTCTTTCATTCTCTTTTCAGCAGGATCCATTATAATGATGTTTGTTTAAGGAATAAATTAATAATAATTATAACAAAAATAATTAGAGAAATAGAAATATTTCATATAAAAATAGTCTTCTTTTATTATAAATTCTAGAATATTTCGAACACATCACTAATATTAAAATTAATATCTATATGAAAGGCATCTGCTGTTTACTTATTTTTTCTCTGGTAGCCACTTAATGTTTTGCTCTATATGAAGCAGATTCAAAGGTTGTCAAACTCACAAAAGACAATTTCAAAACATTAGTACTTGAATCAAATGAACCATGGATGGTTGAATTCTATGCTCCATGGTGTGGACATTGTAAAGCTCTTGCTCCAGAGTACAATAAGGCAGCAAAAGCCTTAGATGGAATAGTGCATATTGGAGCTTTGGATATGACTACTGATGGTGAAGCTGGATAACCATATGGTGTTAGTGGATATCCAACTATAAAATATTTTGGAGTAAATAAGGCAGATCCAATAGCTTATGAAGGTGAAAGAAAGAAGAATGCAATAGTTGATTACTTATTAGATAAAGCAAGAGAATTTGCATTAAATAGATTGGGTGTAGAGATCAAACCAGAACCTTCAAATGATGATTCAAAAGTTGTTGTTTTGACAGATGCCAATTTCAATGAATAAGTGATTAATAGTTAAGAAGCTTGGTTTGTAGAATTTTATGCTCCTTGGTGTGGTCATTGTAAATAACTATAACCTGAATGGAATAAATTATCTCATTAAGCTGATATTCCAATTGCTAAAGTAGATGCAACAGCTTAAACTGAATTGGCAAAGAGATTTAATATTGAATCATATCCAACAATTTATTTCTTCCCTGCTGGAAACAAATAAAATACTCATAAAAAGTATGAAGGAGAAAGAAATGCAGCTGCATTTTTAAAATATATTAAAGAATAGAAACCAGTAGATGGATAATCTTAACAATCTGTTTCTGATGTTGTTAATATTAAATCTGATGAAAGTTTAAATTAAGTTTGCAAATGTATCAATATTCTCCATAATAAAAGAACTCTGTGTCTTAGGATTCTTACCAACTGATAAAGTCGAATAAGAAGATGCAGTCTAAGTATTAAAGAAGGTATAATGATTCCTCTATTATTTTAGGCTGCTTTATCTCTAACAGGAAGAGCTAACATTGGTTGGTTCGTCGGAGAACAATTCGATGATTTCGAAGCCGAACTCAATGTAATTGGTGAAGGGTATAATATTTTATTAAATAAATTAGATATCCTTAAGTTGTTGTTTTAGATTTGAGTGCTAAAAAACACTATAGATTTAGAAGACAATTAAATGTTGATAATTTGAATGAATTTGTTAGGGGAGTCATCAAGAAAACTGAAACTGGATAATCATTCTCTAATTTACCTAAATTGAATGCTCAAAAAACAGATTTGTGATGTATATTATTAAGTCAAAAATATTTAGTCATTCTTAAAGCATTTTTCAATATTTATATAATTTATTATGTTACTTGTAATTTCTCTATTGCTGCTCCATAATGTATATTCAAATTTTGTTACTTGTCCTTAACTATATACTAGTAGATAAACATGTGAATCTTAAAAAGGGTGTATTTTCTATGATTGGAAACAATCAAGTAATAAATCAATCATAATTTTAGCATGTTATTATGATTGTCCATCTTATCCACAATAAGAATGTATATTATTATTTAATTGTAAATGGGTGAATTAAGAATGTTAATTCAAAGCTTGTTTAGATTATTCAGAATAAGGTAAATTATTTAATTTTATTAATAGGACCTAAGACATGTTCCAATACTCCTGGATGTAATTGGTATTGGAATAAATGTAGATAATAAGATTGTCAAAATATTGGAGCATCTACTTAAGCTGCATGTTCAAAAACTTATTGTGTTTGGGATGAAATTGAAACTAAATGTATCAATAAGGCTTGTGCTGATTATAAAAAATCTATTTGTCAATAATTAACTCAATGTACTTGGAGTTCTGAAACTTGCACAGATGCAGTTTTCTCTAATTATGGATAATTTTTAATGACTTTATTGATAATATTATTATTAGATTGAATTAAATATTACAATTAATTCATCTGTTCTTATGTTGATGATTATATTTCTTCAATTATTTGAAATGAAAAATATAAATAATGCAAAATATTGATATATTCAGCACTAAGAATAGAAAATCAGATGTAAGTGATGTAAGTGCTTTTCAGTCTACAAATCATAAGACTATGTTACTTGAAATGTCATTACCAAAAATTAATATAATTGTGCATTCATTTGAACCAAAATTGAAGAATTTGATTAAAGCAGATGGAGATTAAACAGATGTTAATCCTGAAACAGAAAGAGTTTCTAAAACATAGAAACAAAGATTAGATATGTTGAAAAATGAAATTGTTAAAGGTTAGAAAACTCATAAGATTACATTTCGAGATCAAATATCTGGATAATCTCTACATTAAATTAAGTACTTTTATAAAGAACCCGAAGAAGATCTTGATGAATGTTGTCCTTGCAATATTTTTTGATTTAAGACATTTGTTCTTTTTTGTATTTGGGTCTTGAATAATTAATTTACTTTTTATCGAATTTTTTATATTCTTAATTAATTATCTAATTAAATCATATAATATATATATATAATCAATATTATAAAAATTTGTGACACATTAACAATCCTAATACATCCCCTTTTTCTTTAACAAAATTCTTATTGTTAGGATCATTGTAATAATCTTCAAAACATTTATTTCCTTCAGAAAATTAAATTCCACTTATAAATAATAAAATTTATTGAGATGAATATTCAGGATGAGATTACATTCCAAATATTCTTAAATCTTCAGAAATGAATATTTCATTTTCAGCTGTTTTAGATGATCCATAATTAATAAATTTTTCAGGTAATTTACTTACAATATCACCATGAGCTTTATTAATTATTAAGTTATCATTTTAAGTTAATTCTTTGAAACATTCAATTTAAAAAAAATCATTCTTAATTGTAAGTTTCTCATTTCCATAATAGTAAAATCCTTTATGTTTGATTCTATTTTTGCATGGTACAACAATTCCTCCAAATGTTTAAGCAAGTAATTGAAATCCAAAACAAATTCCCATAAATTTTATATCAGAGTAATTTTCATATACATTCAATATAAAGTTTTATAAACTACGAATCCAAGCTTTTTCATCATAGACAGAGCTTGTACTGCCTGGTATTATTATTACATTAGTTTACTTAAGAATCTCTTCATCTGGATAACTTCCTTAAGTTACATTATAACATAACCATCTTTCTTATTTTCTTCTATATATTCCATTAAATAAACCAATAGTATCAATATACATTTTTGGAGCATGATACCTTCCTTAATCAAAGTCTTTCACACATAGAAATATGATAGTTCGATTATATTTTAAGTGTTAACCCTCTAGTATAACTTATTCGATTGTATGTTTTTTATTCAATTCTCTTCTATTATTGAAACTAAAGTAAATCAAATCCTAATCTATTAATTCAATTATATAATATGTATGATCTTCTATTTCCCATATTGGTGCAGTTGTAAAGAAACGAGTCCAAAGGTAAAAATGTGGATTCCTATATATTTCTAGTTCCTAAGATATTATAGAATGAATTATACTCGAATATAATTATAACTGTCCTTAGTTTATTAATAAGCTTCCCAATTTATTATTTTCTCAAAGTTATGATGTTTATTTAAACTAGTTTTTGTAATATCTATTGATCCAAATTATTTAATAATTAGCTTTGCTGCAGCTATTGCACAAGAATTTCCATCTGATTCCAATACTGTACAGTTTTAATTTTACTGAGAATTTATCAGCAATTGCTGACCTATATGGAAGATGAGGCTGACTTTTATTTACATTTTAAAGTATTATTAATGATTTTGAGTAATGTCAAATGAGTTTAAAATTCAATATTTCACGCTAATTGCTTACGAATTACATTTTGACAATTATCAAATGAATAAATATTATTTACGTATTTCGTTACGAATTAAATTAACAATTAATAATATCATTCTTATAAATAATTAATTTTTATTATAAAAATATTTTCATATAAATAATATTCTATATTTAGCAGTTTTACGTTCATAAAAAGTATAATTCAATATACAAAACTTTGATTATTGTTTTTTATTGGTTAAAAATAAATTTTTGAATATTATTTATCTAATATACTAGTTTTGAGCAAATAAATTAAAATCTTTTTTGTTTCATTAAAATAATTACATGTATGCATTTATTTGATTATATTTAAATTTAAATAATATATTCATTTTAAACTATTATAAATAAAGAACCAAACATATAGTTATTTAAAATGAATAATTCAATTAAAAATTAAATAAAATTGCAAATTACTTTTTAATAACAACAAAAGATATTGAAATTTAAATGATTTTATCTCAAATAGGATTCAATTATTATATTTCTTGATATGTTATAAGTTTCTTAAATTTTTCATTCTCTTAATGTTTGATCATAGCTTCCTTTACTTCATAATAACTAAAAAATTTTAATTAAATACTTAGATAATAATTATAATCTTGAATCATCAATTATAATTTTTGATACTCTATCAATGGTTTAAAGATATTATTGTCCTTTATAAGACTTTAATTCTAAATTCTAAAAAAATACAATCTAATAAGGAGTGAATTTATATTCTAAAAATGTATTCCATAAAGTAATAGATACTAAATAACCATCTTAATCCATAACCTCAATCTTAACAAAATCAAAATATTTTCTACATTTTTAACTCAAAATTTTTGTTCTATCAAATTATTAAATTACTATTGCTAAAATATTAAAATATGTCTTTATTTCTGTGTTCTATTAAGGTTGTTCAAATAATTAAAGTTGATTAATTAATGATGAATTGGATTAATTTATATCTAGAGAATTGTTCTTTTATTCTTATTTAAGCTATTAAGTTTATTACATTTAATCATCTGGAGGGTATTAAGTGATTTTACCTTTTTATATCATAATCTATAAATTTTTTTAATAATTTATAGATTCTTTTATTTGTACTCCAAATAGATAGTAGACCTCATTATTTTTGAATTAAGGATATTCAACTTCATTTCCTATGAGACAGGTACATTATTAACCATAAGGATCTTTGAATTCTACTAATTTTTGATTTTATATAAAATCTTCATTAAGAATCTTCTTAAACTTTAAAGCTATTTAATATAATTAATGTTATCGTTTAATGTCTTTTAAACCTTTTGCTTTTTCAAGATTATTAGTATTATAAATACGATTTACATATAGATTTTGATCTCTATTATTTAATTCTGAAATTCTATTGTAATAATTTGAGCATTTTTAATTATTACTTTTTGAAATCCCTTCATGATATTAAAATTAAGCATATTCTTCTTAATCCAAGAAATTAGAATACCTTTTTTATTTCATTCGTAGATATTTAAATTATAAATTATTATGTATATTAATTTTTATAAGCATTTCTATTTGAATTATAATATCTTTTCTATTAATGAATATATAAAATTAAGTCATTAATAGAAATTAATAAAATTATAAGAATAATATTAATAAGAGTATAATAAAAATATGTTAAATATATAATAGATAGTTTAATAGAATCAAATTGTTAATAATAATAATAATAATAATAATAAAATAAATTATATATATATATATATAAACCCAAATTTATCTAAATTCATTGTTTATGTTTTTTTTTGTTCTTTTTCTTTTGAGGTTGTTCTTTATTCTAATCAGATTATTATTATTAATCTTGTTATTCTTATTTTTGTATTCTGTATTATTTTTGTTCTTACTATAGGATATTTTATTCTATAGATTAAACAATTGGTTATGTAATAATGTGATTATGTTACAATTATTATTCATATTTCTTTATTTTACTACCTTATTTACCTGCAATTTTGAATCCAAATAATGTTGGTTCAAAATCTACTTAAATTTAAGTATCTGGCAATAACTAAAACTTTGGATGAAGATCTGGATAGGTCTATATCTAAATATTTAAATGATTAACCATTAATAAAAATTGAGGAAATGATTTTCCAAAATATGCTCCATCTATATCAGCACATTTCTTTTTAGGCATGTAAATTTCTTCACATCTTGGACAAAATACCTAATTACAATATGATGAAGAACTTTAATTCTAGCAGTTTTGAGATCTTCACATAGTCCTATAGGTATCACATTCTGTTTTTCACAATATATTCGAGGACAATGACCAAATTTTCCTTATAAAAATCGTTCACGCATTATTGCAGATCCTTTGGATGTAAATATGAATCGAGCATGTAGTAAACCATAAATGTCAGATGCCTCTTAATAAACTTCTAAAAATCTTTTGTGATGTAATATAAGAAAAACCTTTCATCTTCTAAGTCTTAATCTTCAGGTGAAGTAGGCTATAAGATCATGCTGATGGCTTCACTAGAATTATTAGTTATCATCAATACTTAAAGAAATTGAATTTTCCTTTGATTCCAACTTAATTAAAAGGATCACTAATAAAATCATCATCAATTTCACATAAGAATTGATGATCCTCATGTGCGCAAAACCATTCTATCCAACCTCCTGGATGTTCTGAATATTATGATTCCTCTTCCTATAAACTTTGATGATTTACCAGACATCTTCCAAAAAATTTAGTTAAATAAAAAGATTTTTATAAATGATAATATTTGGATAAAATATTTTTTTATTCCATCTGCTAACTATATAATTGAAATGACTTTTAAATTTAAAAATTTGTTTAAATTGTTATATATATATATCTATATATATGGTACATCAAATATGTTTCATCTGTCTAAATTTCTCTGATAGTACTAATGTCTTTTAATATTTTCTTCTATTCTAAAAATATTGATTAGCCTCTATTTAATTATTGAAATATATTACAATCTTCATAATCTTCAGATTATTATGATTCCAATAGTTTATCAGATATTTCATCATATTTTTCACAAATTTATTAGAATAAGAAATTCACCTTTGAATTTTAAAATCGTTCACTCAATGTCCTACTTCTATTTTATAATTAAAAATAATTCTTTTTCTCTTCCTCAAAGTAATTAATTCTAGAAACTAATTTTTCTACTCTAGTTTTAATTTCTTAATCATTTGCCTCAATCAAACCTAAATTTTCATCTTTTTCTATTTATACCAGCAATAATCTCATTTTATTAAACATATTATAACATTCTCTCCTTTAAAGTTCTTAATTCTTGAATTTATGGTAATAGATTCATTAAAACTTATTGTTTTTCATCAGAATTTATCCATACTTGATATTCTGATGCTTAAAGACCTGGTAACATTTAAGACACTGGCATATTTTTAATTCTATTAACAAATTCATCTACATGAAGAGAAGTCACAAAATCACAATAATCTTTTACTATTGGACTGTACTTATATTGATAAAGTGTACTTGGAGAGTAGTTTCAACTGTACTTCCAATTAATCTTAGATAGCATGAACTAAAGCTAAATGAGTTGAATTATTATTCCACTAATAAAATTTTGTATAATCATATGGAGCATTGTTTAGTAAACAAGTTGGAGGTATGCCAATGTTATAATTCTAATCACTAGAATAATGTATAACTATACATTCTTATCTAAAAATTCTTTAGTTATACAATTGCAGATTGAGTACATTCATTAAGTCCTTTAACTATTTAATACTAAAATTCTTTTCCTAAAGTTTAAAATAGATCCTTTTATAATAAATTCACTTATTATTATTATCCATATATATTTCCTTGATAAGGTGATCCTCCCATATATCCTTTAGGATTACTTTGATTGTTCATTTAATAATTTATATTCAAAATTTTAAAGAATTTAAGTTTTCTCTAAATATTTTAAAATATTTTGTATATATTTAATTATGGAAATCCCATATTACATGAATAACAAATTCATTTTAAACAATAAATGTATTTAATATTGTAGGTATTCTAATTTTAATTAAAGTTAATATTATACTTTCAATTGAGGATTTAATTTTATTAAAGTTGTAGCTTTTTACAAATTATAAATGAATTAATATAATAATTAACTACTTATTCATATTTTCTTATTTATTAATTATTAATTTACTTTATTAAGATTATGTCTAATCCTATAAATACAACTAATATGATCATTATGATAAAAAGTTTATATTAATTATAATCAAAAGATTTTGATTAATTTTTTAATGTGTTAGAGTATTTTGAATTCGATTTGGGTAGAATAATTATAAAAAAATTATATTTTCTCAAGTTTCAATATAAATAAAATAAATATTTATGTTTAAGAAAATTATTTAAGGCTTTTCAAAATATTCCCATAGATCAACAATTCCTAGTCTGCTTAAGGATCCTAGGTATACAAGACGTGGGATATCGAAACCAAAAGGAGAAACCAGAATGCTAAGAAAACCTTCAATACCAGATGATATTCCTAATGCTCATCTTTATTATGATCATTCAAAGTTTATTGAAATTTAAAAAAACAATCCTCCTCATAAATTAGTACATATTGAAATAATAATAAGAAATATGAATCAACAGATTTAGATTTCATTTTGAGTGTACTTAATAATGATTCATTTATTCACACTTAAGATTTTAAACTTTGGAAAGCCATTAAATAATTGAATATTCATCATCCAAATGAAGTCAAGAAGAATTGGGATATTTTTGATAGAGCTTATAGAGTAATATTAGATAATGCAAGATATTTGGATATTTATAATTTCAGATCATTCACTTAAGTTTCTTAACAATATTATTTAGAAGATGAAAAAGTTTGGACAGTGTTATATAGAATTTCAATTCAATTTTTTGTTGGTTGGGAACATTAACAAACCCCATTATTAAGTAAATTAATTGAAAAGTAAAAATATTAATAAAATAATGTAGAACATATTAACAATCATTTTTATTCTGCTTTCATATTATTATGTAATAAGTTAGGAAATTCAAAATTGATGTATCTAATATTATAATTCATTTGGATTATTTAATGAGAAACCATTTAAGATTTTACAAAATTGTATTAATCAATATATTTAAAATAGCATAGTGAAGAAACATATAATAAAGTAGAAAATGTAGAAGATAAGAATTAATTAGGAAATTTTATAGCTCATTTTGCTTTTTGTATTTAATAAAGAAAAGACATTTTTAATGAAGTAGACAAAGAAATCAAGGAGAAACAAGTGGAAGAATTTTTACATTAAGGACAAAAGCTTTGTTTAGAATCATTTGATAAGCTCACTGCAGTAACAAAGAAAAATCTATAAAATTCAATAACTTATAGTAGATATTAATATAAGCCATTGTTTGATAAATTTAAATGAGAATATTTATAAATATAATTGTATAATTATCTAATAGATATAAATTATTTAATAATTCTATAAAATGATATATTTTTTATTTAATAAAAAAATAAATTGATTAAATATGAATAATAAAATTAAAAATTTATTGAAATGATCTAATTTATTAATGAGTATTTTATAAATAATCATTATTAGTAATTTATAAATTATTTTTCAATCATTTAAATAAATGGTTTCAACATATCATCAATTTATAATGTAGTTAGAATTTTCATTTTGATTAAATCTAATTCCTTCAAATACTTTTATACATAAGGACCATCTGCTAATGCATAACTAAAATGTTTTAAGTTTACATTTATAATTCCTGATTATAAAGTTCTTAAAAATAATTCAAGGAATATTAATGTTACAGAATTAATTAATTCATTATCTGCATCTATTTTTAATTAACCAAATAATTCTTTAGCTTTAAAAAATAATCCATAAAATATAATATTTTTAATTAGAACAAATTCAATAAAAATAATTTTTTTACATTCTTTCAATAAATATGAAAAGTATTTTGATATTTAAAATCTAGATTTTATTATGTCACTATGATAATTTTATAATGGATAAAAACCTTCTTCTGATATAGAATTTAAAAAGATATAAAATTAATTTGAAAACTTTTGATTTGTCAATTTCTATAGAATTTCTCTTACAATCTCTTCTGCTATTAATGGAATCATTATTTTATGCTATTTTTTTTCAGCTTTTTAAAGTTATTACAAACGACTAAATTTGAATAAAATCTATTTAGCTATAACATTATTAATAAAAAATATCACTTCTTAATTGACTTTTTAATAATTATTTTAATGATAAGTATAACTAATTAATTGATATCTTTATTGAGATATCTTAGTTTATTTAATTAAACAAAAACAAAAGAATACAGTGGCAAATCCATATTTTATATTCTTAATTCTCTTATTTGTTTATGATATTTTTAAACCATAATTTGTATTTATTTAGATATTCGATTATTTAAATAAATATTTTTCATATTAAGCTAATCTAAA